GAGCGCGACAGAGGGAGAGAGCGCGACAGAGGGAGAGAGCGCGACAGAGGGAGAGAGCGCGACAGAGGGAGAGAGCGCGACAGAGGGAGAGAGCGCGACAGAGGGAGAGAGCGCGACAGAGGGAGAGAGCGCGCGCGCGAAAGACAGAGAGAGAGAGCGAGCGCAAGACAGAGAGAGAGAGAGCGAGCGCGAGACAGACAGAGAGCGAGCGCGAGACAGACAGAGAGAGAGAGAAAGAGCGAGCGCGCAACAGACAGAGAGAGAGAGAGCGAACACGCGACAGGGAGAGAGAGAGCGAGCGCGCGACAGGGAGAGAGAGAGAGAGCGAGCGCGCGACAGGGAGAGAGAGAGCGAGCGCGCGACAGGGAGAGAGAGAGCGAGCGAGACAGACAGAGAGAGAGAGAGAGCGAGCGCGCGACAGGCAGAGAGAGAGAGAGCGAGCGCGCGACGGACAGAGAGAGAGAGACAGCCAGAGAGAGTGAGAGCGAGCGCGCGACAGCCAGAGAGAGAGAGAGCGAGCGCGCGACAGCCAGAGAGAGAGAGAGAGCGAGCGCGCGACAGCCAGAGAGAGAGAGAGAGAGCGAGCGCGCGACAGGGGGAGGGAGAGCGAGCGCGCGACAGGGGAAGAGAGAGCGAGCGAGCGAGCGCGCGACAGGGAGAGAGCGAGGGTCAGGGAGAGACACAGACAGCGAGAGGCACAACGAGAGAGAGACACACAGACACACAGACACACACACACACACACACAAAGAGAGACAGAATCAGAGAGAGAAAGAAAGAGAAAAAGAGGAAGAGAAAGTAAGAAAGAAAGAACAAAGAAAAAGTAAAAGAGAGACAGAGAGAATTAAACGATTCTTCGAAAGGATGCAGAAGAATGTAGATTTTCCGCTGACGGCATAACTCAGGCAGACACTATGCCTCACACATTTAGAGATTCAAATGGAAGTGTGTCAACTGTATTCAGGTGCAAGTATTAATGGTTTGGACTTGAGGAGCAGCAACAATTAGAATGCAAGTGAAAGTTGAAGGTGCAAAAGCAATTAAAGGGCTGCATTCGTATAGGGGAACACAAATTCTTCCAGCTTTGGCAGTTCCTAAAAATGTATCCGGCCCCAATATAGTTGCTATAGTTGAAGAGTTATGCAGTTGTGTATATTTCTAAACAATCGGCTATTCTGTTGGATTAATGAATGGGGACGTGATCAGGGGCTCTTGCAGCGCAGTGGTAATGTCCCTGCCTCGGAGCCTGAAGATCTGGGTTCAAGTCCCACTTGTTCAGGTGTGAGCCACAGTTACAATAATCTTCATATTGTTTACTCAATACGACTCTTCTACTTAGACCAGAAAAGATGAATATCCCAATTCACACTGGACCACTTCAAGTTTAAAGGAAACCCCACAGACAACACATGCAGTCCAAGGCAAAGTGAAGCTAATGATAAAGTACAGGTATGAATATGAATAAATAAATCAGGATCTGCCACTGTGTGATGGGTGTTGGAAAGATGTCATGGACCAAGGTGTTCAATAGGAGAGGAGGTTGACAACAGGCTCATCCTCTAATCCACACCATAACACCAGGTAATCTCTGCAGAAGATCAGGTGTAATCTCCAACGTGATAGTGGAGCAGACTTAATGGGCTTATTGTCCTATGGTCTATTGCAACGTCCAAGAACCCATTTGCCATCAAACCAACCCTCTGATTTATTGGCTAAACCGGAGTGGGGGGGAGCACAGCCAAGTAACTGTTGGTCTCAGGTTCTTATCTCACTTGAGTCTAATATCCTGAAGGAAAGTCCTGCCCAGACCACCACCTCTAATCTACACAATGTGCTGCAAGCTAGTCCTGGCCTGATAGAGAAAATCAACACTAAAACTCTGCCTTACCTGCTCATCATCTTCCACTACTACAAGAGTTAGCTTGCTTTTCTTAAATTCCAGTTTGATGATCTTTGGCCTGAAAATAAGGAGAATAAAATATGAACCACATACAACACCAAAATAATTTAAGCAGCAGGATGTCTCCCCCTTCAGATTCAAGCACAACAGTTTGTAACTTTTCTCACGTATCTATTTTTGTCACTTACTTATTGCTTCTACAGCAATCTCTGGAGCCGTGATCTTTCTCAAATATAGTACTGACTGAGCCAACATACACCACATAGAACTGACACGTATGTTTAAAACATCAGCCCAATCACTGCAGCATATACAGTTGAAGGTCTCAATTGCATTGCAACACTCCAACCAAATGGCTGCCTTATTGGAAAGCCAATTATATGTGATGGCTAGTTAGCTCAGGTAGTTACAGCATGGCGCTAATAATACCATGGTCATGGTTCAATCTCCAAGCTGCGCAATGTTGCTGGCTTCAACTCCAGAAATTAATTCTGGCAAAGGCTTAGTGGTATTATCACTAGACTGTTAATCAAGAGACTAGGTTACGATTGGAGGATCTGGGTTTGAATCCTGCCATGGTGGAATTTGAATTCAATAAAAATCTGGGATTAAGAGTCTCATGACGATTATGAATCCATTGTCAGTTGCAAACACCCATCTGGTTCACTAATGCCTTTTGGGCAAGAAAACTGCCATCTTTATCTGGTTTGGCCCTACACGTGACTCCAGACCCACAGCAATACGGTTAACCCTTTACACAGAGGGGAGTTATTAGGGATGAGTAATAAATATCCATATGCTGTGAATAAACTGTAAATAAAAAATAAATACTAACAGGTGACCTTCAAAGCAATGGTATTCCTTGACCTGACAACTGCCTTCTTCATAAAAGTAGGCCCATATCCTCACGGAAACGTACAAAACGGGAGCAAGAGTAGGCCATTCGGTCCTTCGAGCCTACTCTGCCTTTCAATATAATCATGGTTGATCATCCAACTCGATACCTTGTTTTCACTTTAGCTCCATACTCTTTGATTCCTTTAGCCCTAAGGAACACATTTCCTTTTTGAAAACATACAATATTTTGGCATTGACTGCTTTCTGTGCCAGAGAATTCCACAGGCTCACCACTCTCTGGCTTTTGAAATTTCGCCTGATCTCAGTGCTAAATAGCCTAACCCACATCCTTGAATGTGACCCCTGGTTCTGCAGCAATCTTCAGTTTAGGTGCATTATAGACGGAAGGTCGAACTCACCAGAAAAAGAGTCCAATCTTTGTTTCACCTTCAAATACCAGGACTCCTGTCGGGGTCAGGCCCAGGCTGTATTCATTTTCATCTCTTCCCTAATTGAGCAAACAGGATTCAAAATTACAAACAAAGAAATGGAAGTCTGTCTATGTGCAAAAAGTGTAATCAAAAATGGAACAACATCTCTGAAAAGGTTGATTAGAAAACATCCTAACTCAATCTCCACCCAAAATTAAACTTGGCTTAAACTTCAGGAATGTGGAAACTCAATCTTGACTAATAATAATAAAAACAGAAAATGCTGGGAGAAACTCAGCACCTCTGGAGACAAACAAAGTTAACGTTTCTGAAGAGTCATATCGCACTTGAATGTTACTCTCTCTCCACAAACCGGCTGAGCTTCTCCAGCATTTTCTGCTTTTTTATTTCAGATTCCCAGCGTGTGCAGTTTTGACTGTGACGTTTTATTTGCTCTGCTCGGAATTGCAGCAGAACAGGGAAAGTTGGGCCCATTTCCAAAAACCACTGTGGGACCCTTGCTGCAAAAGCACACATTTGTGGGTGGAGGCAGGACCAAGCTCAGTTGCAATGACCCCTTGCAGGTAAACACTGGCTGATCTCCGACACAAACAGCCGTGATCTGGATGATGCAGCAGGAGGAAAGCGACTGACTAGCTAGAGCTGAAAATTCCAGGAACATCCCTGCATTGTTAGAGCTGAGCAAGAAACAGCCAAGTGTGAGGGAATTAAAGCAAAGGCAGGAAACTTTTTTGTTATTTTCCTTATGTAGGGGTGGTTGGATTTCAGAATGCACATCAAGGAGTGAGGGAGTGAAACGGGGACATCACCACTTAGAAACATGAAGGCTGAAGGCAAGAGGTGATAGAAACTGAGTGACAGCAAAATGTGGACGAAGAATTATTGAATTAGAGCAGAAACGTACAATTAGGACAATAATTTGAATTAATGGAGCATTTTTAAAGTGGAAGAACAATCCAGGTGTAGGAAAGCTTGCATTCAATGATTAGTTTTAGTCTAAAAGGCATGTTTCTGTGACCTCCTTTATAGCTATTTAAACCAACATGAAATGTATCTCAATGAATTGCATTTGCCCAAATTAGGAGGAAACATTCCATTCTACAGCTCTTACCTTGATGAGCATAAAATTTCATTTCTCTTTTATTTGAAACGGCAAAAAAACCCTTCCAGAAACAATTCCATTTAGTTAATACAAAAAAACTGCAGTTTCTGGAAGTCTGAAATGTAAACAGAAAATTCTAGAATACAGTTATGTCGAGAAGGTTGCTGACCTAGAACCATGAGCTGGATTTTCACCTCAAAAGAGGGACTTGGGAGTCAGACCCGTTCCCCGATATTACAGCTCAGTTACACTCAAGTTACACTCAGGGCAGGGCAGGGCAGTTAACAGACAGGCTGGCTTGGGGGCTGCTGTTACCTCATAGCAATCCCAAGGAGGTGGGAGGGGTGCAGACAGATGCATAGATCACTGAAAGTTGCCACCCAGGTTGATAGCGTTGTTAAGAAGGCATACAGTATGTTAGGTTTTATTGGTAGAGGGATTGAGTTTCGGAGCCATGAGGTCATGTTGCACCTGTACAAAACTCTGGTGCGGTCGCACTTGGAGTATTGCGTACAGTTCTGGTCACCGCATTATAGGAAGGATGTGGAAGCATTGGAAAGGGTGCAGAGGAGATTTACCAGGATGTTGCCTGGTATGGAGGGAAGGTCTTATGAGGAAAGGCTGAGGGTTTTGAGGCTGTTTTCGTTAGAGAGAAGGTTAAGAGGTGACTTGATAGAGACATACAAGATGATCAGAGGATTAGATAGGGTGGAGAGTGGGAGCCTTTTTCCTCGGATGGTGATGGCTAGCACGAGGGGACATAGCTTTAAATTGAGGGGTGATAGATATAAGACAGATGTCAGAGGTAGGTTCTTTACTCAGAGAGTAGTAAGGGCATGGAATGCCCTGCCTGCAAAAATAGTAGACTCGCCAACTTTAAGGGCATTTAAATGGTCATTGGATAAACATATGGATGATAATGGAATAGTTTAGGTTAGATGGGCTTCAGATTGGTTTCACAGGTCGGCGCAACATCGAGGGCCGAAGGGCCTGTACTGCGCTGTAATGTTCTATGTTCTATGTTCTAATAAACAGGTCAAAAGAGCCTCCCCCAATCTGTTCACTGGGGTACCCACCCAGTCCTAGAGATAACCGCTCATACTCACTCCCTTATCTGCCCCGCATCAGTACAGTAAAACCAATCCCTGAACTTGATTTCTCTTTTCACAGATGCTGCCTGACCCTTTTCATATCTCAAGCACTGTTTGGATCTCATTCAAATCCAATCTAGTTTAAACTCTGAGAAGCAGAGAATAAATCCATGACAACAGCATCATTCAACTTTCCAAATTCATCCAGTCCTTACTTTGACCTAATAAAATCAGAGAGAAACTCTGAAAGCATCTGTGGAGAGAAAGCAGAGTTAAGGTTTTGGGCCCAGTGACTTTTTTCTTCAGAACTCACTTACTTTGACCTTGTGCATGTCCACTCCGTACATCTCCAGCCATTTGGCTTTATTGAGATAGTTTGTTTCTGCTTGAGATGGTGATTGACCCCTGCAAAGAGAGACAATTTCTTGTAAAGTGTCCCTGCCCACAATTATACCAAGTGGTGTAAAGCATTCTTAATTCAAAGCACTGCAAGGCACCCATTTGGAGTTACAACAAGCCTGTAAGCACAGAAAAGGCCATTTAGCCTAAAAACCCTACACACCCCTCTTCACCCAGGAAAAGAAGGAGATATTCGACCTGCATTCTTTCCATTTCTCAAAGATGGCGAGTTCCATTTCTTCAGTCTGATTTGGCACAAATCTGAACTCTGACACAAAGTCTGGGCCATGCTCCGAGGGATCGCAATCACCCACTTCAGCTATAATCAAATAAACCAGGAAAAAAGGAGATAGATTTAAGTGATCAAAAGAAGGTCTTGAACGACAGAGTATCCCTACCTCAATCTTTCTCAATTATCTACCCCATCCATAAGAAACACACTTGCTATTTGATCTGAAGAACTGACAATGACACTCCAAAGTCAGATTACCAGGAAGGGTAAGGAAAAAGCCAAGTGAGCATAGAGTGGACACTGGCAATATGTCACTAGCTTGTCCAGTGGCCTTAGTGACACCCAAGTAAACTTAAGACATGGAGGCCTGTTCATCAAGCTGATTCAAGCTTCATTGGGTGGGATGCTCTGAGGGTCAGTGTGGACTTGTTGGGCCGAAGGGCCTGTTTCCATACTGTAGGGATTCTATAGTCTATGATTGCTGGTAGGTCAAAGTCCAACAATTCCCTACCTGGCAAAACTGTGAAGCACCTTGGCCAGCTGTTTAAGGTAGCAGGCTACCAGCAACTTCCCAAGGACAACTTTGGAGGAACATTAAACAGTCATTAATCAGAGGGTTTTTTTTAATTCATTTGTGGGACTTAGATGTTGCTTGCTTAGCCAGGATTTATTGCTCGTCCCTAGTTGCCCTTGAGAATTTGGTGGTGAGCTGCCTTCTTGAACCGCTGCAGTTCAGCTGCTGTGGGTTGACCCACAATGCCACAAGGGAGGGAATTCCAGGATTTTGACCTAGCGACAGTGAAGGAACCGTAATATATTTCCAAGTCAGGAAGGGGAGTGGCTTGGAGAGGAACTTGCTGGTGCGCGTGTTCCCACATATTTGCTGTCCTTGTCCTTCTAGATGGAAGTGGTCGAGGGTTTGGAAGGTGCTGTCTGAGGATTTTTGATTAAGGTCTTGACAGTAATACCACAAAAATGATTTATTTTTTAAAAAAGCAAGATAGATCAAGGTCAGTTCAATGTTTTTTGACAAACTTCACTGTACAGAGAAATCCCAGTAATTCGAAAGCTTTCAAATAATTCCTGGGTACTGCTAGAAAAACACGCGGCTACAATTGTTCACTCCGTCATCTCATGGACCCCCCGACCTTGGTTATAAAGCTTTGGAGGCAAGTCAGCACATGACCGATTTCTGCTCCAAATGATCCACCTCTGGAGCAGATGGGTATGTTTAGAAGGTACTGCAAGAAATCTCTCAATCCATATAACATGAGAAAGTTATAGCCATCAGAAGCTTGAGAACAAGATACCAGCTTGTTGCCCCATCAGTCATCATAAGACACCATGTTCGCCATTTCCTGCTTTTGAAGTGAAAGGCAAAACACTCCAGATGTTGTGCTCGTCAGACATCATCCCCAGAGTCTTTCTGAGGATCATCTTACCATTGGGTATCATCAGGGCAGAGTCAAGGCAGCAAAATAAGGTTCAATCCAGTCTAAGCTTCACTTGAAAATACACATGTGGCATTTTAACCCTAATGCAAAAGCAAAATAATCAGAAGATATAATAGCTCACCCTGAATGGCATAGGCTGACAGCTGGACTGATGTGTCAAAAGGGCATTCTAACCTGGATAGGTGAAAAAGAAACGAGTTTATTTTTCAATAATAAATGCAAAATTAAGTTCTACTCAAGACACTAAGTGGCAATGCCAGAGGATGATGTGATTTGATTTGATTTGATTCTGTGCCCACGGTTCACCATCCAAATGCGATTCCAATCATTGTTTGGTTTCAAGAAAGGCAGCAAGTGAAAAGTTAACCATTTTCCTGCACAGAAGGTCAAGTTAACCTGTAAAAAGTTCCTTTACTTCAAAGTGAACAGATTGCATGGATAAGCTAAGGGGATTCACGCATGAAAAACTTGAAATGAAGTTGTTGAAACACACTGGTTCAGGTTTTGAAGTATACTTTACTCTGTTTTTGGTTATATATCATGGTACTAATTCTCAGCATGAATGTCTTAAATGCTGAACCACTTTTCTTTCAAGTATTTAAGCAGTATTTGGAGGAATGAATGGTACCAGTGTATTTGTCTTCCAACAGCAGAATCCCTCAAGCCCGCTCCACCATTCAATAGGACCATGGCTCCACTCTCCTGTCTGTTCTCCATAATCCCTAAGTCACACCTTTGTTAATCTAACACGTGTCTAATTCAGTCCTGAATACATACATTGATTCAGTATTCACTGTTCTCTGCGGAAGCAAATTCCAAACACTTACAATATTCGTAGAGAAGACATTTCTCCTCACCATCTTAAATTACAACCTTTTATTTTTAAATTTGACTTCTAGCTTGTGAAGCTCCCGAGGGAAAATCCTCTGAGCATCTATACTCTTAAGCTACCTAATAAAAGGGTGAATATCCCATTTGCCTTCCCATTACTTGCTGCACCTAAATACTGATGTTTTGTGTTTCACATACAAGAATATCCATTGTACCACGGCACTCTGCATTCTCTCCATTTAAATATATTCCACTTTTTTATTCTTCCTGAACAAATCACATCTTCCAGAAGCTCCCAGATGAGAACAACAATGTCATTACCCTCTTAAATATTACAAGAGAAATCCCAATTCTGTCTTCATTCCTGCACTAAAAATCTAGATCTCCCAACCCAACAGCACCTGCACCATAAGAAATGCAACAGTTCAATATGAAATAGGTCACTTTGACAGGAAGAATTAAAAAATGGAGAATATCACTTAAACAGAGAACAACTGCAGAATTCCAAAGTACAGAGGCACCTAGGTGTTCTTGTGCATGAGTTTCAAAAGTCTTATTGCTTCTTAGAGAGTCATAGTGGTGTACAGTTTGGAAATAGACCCTTTGGTCTAATTCATCCATACCAACCAGATATCCTAAATTAATCCAGTCCCATTTGCTAGCATTTGGCCCATATCCCTCCAAACCCTTCCTATTGATACACATCCAGATGCTTTTTAAAATGTTGTAATTGTACCAGCCTCCACCACTTCCTCTGACACTCCAGGAAAAATAGCACCAAGCTATTCAGCCTCTCCCCATAGCTCAAGCCAACCCTGGCGACATCATCGTAAATCTTTTCTGAACCTTTTCAAGTTTAAAAACATTTTTCCTACTTGCATATTAACAGGAATCATGCCAGGGCCATGATTATTTACAATATATATCAATGACTTGGATGTGGAAGGTGAACGTACTCTCTCAAAGTTTGTGGATGACACAAAGGTAGGCGAGTTGGCAAGTGGTGAGCATGACACAAAGAGGGATATAAACAGGTTAAGCAAGTGGGCAAAGATTTGGCAGATGGAATGTAATGTGAGGAAATGTGAGATTATGCACTTCGGCAGAAAGAGGAGGAGCCAAATATTATTTAAGTACTGCAGGAAGCTACGGGACCGCGGGATTTGGAAGTCCTTGTCCATGAATTACAAAATGCTAACATCCAAGCTCAGCAAGTATAAAGGGAAGGCAAACAGAATACCTCGAAAGGGAAAGCAGTATAAAAGTAGAAAGGTTTTGCTAATATTTTCCAAGGCACTGGAATATTGTGAACAGCTTTGGGCCCCTTATCTAAGGGGAGATATACTGGCATCGGCGGCAGTCCACAGTAGGTTCACTCAGCTGATACCATGTATGGAGGGACTATCTTATGAGGAGAAGTTGAGGAGAGTGGGTCTGTTATAAGCTAATAACATTAAATATGTATTAAAACAGACAATGCAGTCCTTGTAGTTTCAAACATCCTCGGTACAAAGTAATGGTTAGATGCTTGTTTTTGACTGGCACAGGAAGGATGGGCTAAATGTTTTTTTTTCTGTGCTGTAGACTTTTATGGCTCAAATAATAAACAACACTTACTTGCCACTCAGGATGTCCTGCTTCAATTGTAGTACAAATAAGTACCTGTAGATTGACAAGGAGACAGAGTCAAAACTTAAACCAAACCCACTGGAAGGTCATTTTTTCACCTTATAAAACGCAGCAGTTATGATTGGAATGGCACTTCTGCCTGAGGATGGAGGAATCAGATCCAATACTAAATCCCAAAAAGGAAAATAGATAAATGCATGTAGTGAGAGAACTGTAGGCCTACAAGGACCAGGTGCCTAGTTGGATTATTCTTTTAAAGAACTACCATGGAGAGAATGGGCTCAAGGGCCTCCTTCTGCACAGACTACAAATGCAAGACAAACTGACAAGCAGCATGCTTAACCCATGCCAAGTGTTTAGGGAACAATTCTAAATGCAACCTACGATAAAAGAAAAAAAAGTGACCCCACAAAATGAGAAACTACAAACAGATTTGCTCTCTGACAATCAGAGAGGAAAAGAAAATCCCAGAAACACGTTCAAACACAACAAGTCCTTTACTGCTTCAAATCGATGTCATGGTGGTTTGGTCACATGACTGAAGGCAGCTTTATCAAAGGTCAGCGTGTGACAGTCTTGATGTCACGTGGGGCACAGAAGCAGACAGAAAGGTCATGGAAACTAGCAATCCAAAACCGGCCAGGTCACCACGGTCAATCAATCCATTTCATGGCCTAATTCCTCAAGGACTAAAAGCAGACTATTCAGACTGTGTTTCATTACAGCTATAATAGCAGATGTATACAGGTAAACAAATATGATCAGAGAGTCAGTAGAAAACAGTCAGGGGGTTCAAACTGCATCTAACTAAAAACAAACTGCGTTGTTAAAAGGCAGCTGCAACAATTTGAAATCACCTCCACCCACTTGGATGAGTGCTGCAATCAGGCATATTTACTCTTCCAACATATCAATTCCCCCCCTCCACCTTGCCCCCTCTACTCCCACCCCGCAATACTGTCCTCACTTCACCTGAAGACATTGGCTTGTGCTGGGATACAGATCCATGAGCAATTAATGTCAGCCTCTCCCTCCTTCCTTCACTACTTTAGAACAAAGCACAAAGTCCTATCATCTACAGCTGCACAGCCGAGCCCAATTCTCATCTGGACTGGACACATACGTGTGCTGACCTGCCAGTGAACAGTAATCAAGGCAAGATTCCTGGATGATTATGCCCTGCATTCTCACCCAGGCCCATCTCAATCCCAGAAGAACAGAGGCCAAGTGAAATCCATTCTACTACTGCTGCTCAATTAATTCGGCTCCAGTGAAAAGGGGACTAAACCCAATAGCTTCTTGGTGAGAGTGTGTCAGAGCCATCTTGCACATCACATGTAGCAAAGCAGCCAAAAAGAGCATTACAGGCACTTTCTTTGTCCTTGGAAATCTTTCCCACTGGTGAATGAAGCATCACCGGACCCGAAATGTTAACTCTGTTTTCTCCTCCACAGATGCTGCCAGACCTGCTGAGCTTTTCCAACAGCTTTGTTTTTGCATCACATTGTCAGGGACTGATATTTACTGGGGAATAAAATATGGTGAATACCAAGAATGTTACCATTTCATTATCTCTCCCAAGTTTTGTTATTACATGGAGATTTATGTTTGTTCTGTGCTGAGCCTTGGCAAGCTAACAGCTTCCAGCTTGTGTACTTTTTAAGAGGCACTGAACTGTAGCTAGCACTGAACACACTTGCATACACACTGTGGGGGAATTGCCACTTCCAGATTGAACACACATCTCCCTCTGGCAATGACCCTGCTAGAACTTAAAGGAACCAATTATCATTCCCATAATTTTCTGAAGGCAGTTCTGCAAATAGGCAATAGATGTTGCAACATTGTGCACTGTCCCGGTTCCTACGACAAACTTTTTTAGACAATATTCCTGTTACCAGTCAGTATACAACAAGAGTCAGCCAGAATTGAAATAGATCTCACGAGGGATCAGAAGACTCTCAGCCTCTAATTGGTTGAAGCAGACAAACCATTCAAGTCTCCAACCTGACTGTCCCTGCTTTGTGCTCATGGTCAGCCTAAGGCAGGTTGACCAGGAGGCTTGCTGCTTTTAGCAAAGGTTGGAAAAAGGGGGAGAAGTTGGATACAAGGGTTTCTATTGCCAATCAGTAGCCAGCTATTAGCAAAGTAGGAATCTGAGTGAGTTTGCCTTGGCAGCGATGACTGTTCTACTCCAATGCTTTCAGAACACTGGGTACGACAGGAGTAATGACCACTTAACAACTTGTAACTCAACCGACAGAGTCTATGTCCTCTACAAAGTGGAAGAGAAGCAAAGAAGTTTTTTATAGAAATATTTGCCAACTGCTGCCATGTCATACCAAAAGTCCTTTAAATCAGATACAACCACCGAAGGAAAAGCCACAAAAACAAAGCCCCACCTTACCTTGTTAACTCTTCACGAAGATTATTTGGTTCAGAGGAGTAAAACTTCACCCGCAAATGAAGGCAGTACGGTGGACCAACTGCAAGGGGAATGCTAAAAATAAACAACTCTGCATATAAACCACAAAAAAAATAATCCAACTTCGTAGACGCTATTTCAAATGGGAGAAAATGCAACCATTCACTCTAATCATCATAATGGAGAGCAGAATAGGAGTATTAACATTCACCAACCTATTCCTTTCTGCACACTCTAAGTCTCTGAGTTTCCTTTGTACAACTCCTGCAGAACCAGCTGAAGCAGCATCAAACATTGCGGAATTTAAAATGCGAGTCACAACAAAAAATACTTACTTGCCTTTTTCCGCAATCATATTTGCTGGTTCAACATCACCTAATCAGATGCAAGCCCCACCTTCAAAACTGGTCACAAGGGTTCTTGGTTAATTTGGTCATTTGGGAAGGGCCATCAAATTGCATTCACTTTTTCAAAAAATTTGATGCATAAATTCAAATGAATTGGAAATTTGTCATTCAAGTTCCTTCTGGCTCAATTCCCAAATTATTAGGTTTGTTTACACTGTTCCTTTGCCCTGGTTCATACACAATGCTACATTCAAGATGACTTAAAATGTGTGTGAGCCAATGTGAAATGCATACATAAGCATTGAGTTATAGACTTGCTCGCCAAGCGTTTGATTGCAGATGTTTCATCACCTTGTTAGGTAACATCGTCAGTGCACCTCCGGTGAAGCGTTGGCGTCCTGTTCTGCTTGTTATTTATATGCCTCAGTTTGCTGGCGTGGTTGGCATCACTTCCGGTTCTGTTTTTCAGTGGTTTGTATATGGGGTCCAGTTCAGTGTGTTTGTTGATGGATTTCCAGTTGGAATGCCAGGCCTTCAGGAACTTCCTGGCATGTCTTTGCTTGTCTAGTGCTATTATGGATGTGTCGAATTTGTGTCCTTCTTTGTCTGCGTGCATTGAGACCAGTGAGAACTGGTTGTGTCTCTTGGTGGCTGGTTGGTGTTCGTGTATCCTTATTGACAGTTTTCTTCCAGTTTACTGATGAAGCAGCAGAAGATGGTTTGGTCTACAGCATCCCTCAGGAGTTCCTGCAGAGATGTCTGGTCTCACTTTTTGACACACAATGATCATTCAATACAGTGACTTAGTGCCTATTTTTCACCAACCCTACTTACCACGTCATTCACTTTAGTAAATACCCTCCAAATACAAATTTATCTTTTGCTTGGTCCCTTTTGTTTCTGAACAATCCTTTAGCGTCACTGCCTCTCTAAGTCCTCTGTGAACCTTGTTTCACATCTCCAACACTCCATCCTGGTTCCCATGTCTGAAACCTTCCCCCAAGGGTCTAGGCCCGAAACGTCAGCCTTCCTGCTCCTCTGATGCTGCTTGGCCTGCTGTGTTCATCCAGTTCTACACCTTGTTATCTCCCCATACTATGTAGTCCCAGCTCCACAAAGGTATAACTTGTCCACCTTGAACTGACCAGAAGTCACAGGAGAAGAACAAGGCCATTCAGCCCATCAAGTCTGTTCTACCATGCAATGAGTTCATGGCTGATCAAATAATCCTCAATTCCACTTTCATACGTTTTTGTCATAACCTTTGATTTCCTTCCTGATTAAATACCTATCTCAATCTTGAATATGCTTAACAACCCAGCCTCAACAGCAAAGCTTTTCACAGATTCACTAGCCTCAGAGAGAAGAAATTCCTCCTCATTTCTATCCTACATATGTGACGTTTATGCTGAGATCCTGCCATCTGTTCTTAGAATTTTCCACAAGGCAAACAACCTTTCTGCATCTACCCAGTCATGTCCCAAAGCATCTTGTACGGTTTAAATAAGGTGACCTCTCATTCTTCCCTCTCTCTGGCACCAGATTGATCCAAATGCCCCTTGCTTTGCACCAATTCTCCAGCCATGTGCTTTCTTAACACACCAGCACACAGGCACTAAATACAGGGATTAAAAAGCAGGACCTTAAAGTTAGTAATGTCCTCCCTGACAGCTCAGTGTCTGACTGAACATTAAGGCTTTCCCATCCCTGCATGAACCAGATCTTCTGGCCATTTTACCTTGCCCCTCCTCTAAAAACGTTCTTGTCCTCTCAGTGACCTCTGGCATCAGGCAGGGACACACATTGATAATTGCAAACATGACTTTCCAACACCATTAATAATGAATCCCCGTTCCATTTCCACACTTTCTTGTGCTCTTAAATTCATTTGCCTCACACTGCCACAGCCGTGCTATAGACTGCACTCCCAGTCCCTCCCCCAAGGATATCTGGTACTCAAAACTGGTTCAAGAGTGCTACATTCCCAAAGAATTCCGGCACAGTCCTGCCCCCTCCAACATGGTTGTACAACCACCTGCTCACTATTCCATTGATCTCTTCTGTGCTGCAAGTTGAACACCATGCACTCCCAAAAATACCCAGCCTTCTCACATGTCTTACAGTGACTTTAGCCACCACTTAGCTTCGGGTCCGAACACATCGGAGATAATTCTAGCGCCCATGGTCACTGACGCACGTGAAGCATCCTAGACGCACCACAGAACATTAGAGTCCCTGGCACGAGATTCCCTCGCTCTCGATTCCCTCGCTCTCAAATGATACTTCAAGCGACTGAAACATTTGCAATAGCTTTAAGCAAAAAAAACTTACTTTTCACTTGCTTCTTGATGCTCTTGGTGTTGTCCAACCAATGCTGCAACATAAAATACAGACAGATATAAATTATGTTCAAAAAGAGCTAGCAGACTGTGTAAAAGCAGTGAACAATCCTGACTTACATTCCCATTATAAAGGGCTGTCCAGTAACCTGGTACCAAACGAATCTTACTTTTCTTCATGAACATAGCAGTGAAACAATTCAATGCATTTCCACTACAACAATATTTTCAGATTATGAAGTAAGCATACAGTATACCGAAAACAATTACTCAGTTTTATATAGCTGTTAAGAGCACATCGTAACTGACTAAGGCATTGAACGAAAGGAGATAGATCACGCTGGGGGTGGGGGGATTGGGGGAGGTCTGTTTAATTCTGACAGAGTGCATGAGAGTCAGTGGCACAGCAGTAACATCAAAACACTTTCAGACAATTAAGTGACAGACATCCCCTCCCTTCAGACCACTGCGCTCTCACGTTGAGAGGTAGGAGATTGTCCTGAAAAGGTCAAGTGCTTTTCTCTCTCTTCCCACACAAGCGCTGTCTGCCCTGCTGAGTGTTTCCAGCATTTTATGCTTTTATTGCCTCTTTCCAGCACCCGCAATGGTTTGCTTTTGCCTCGCAAGTGGCTCTGCATTTCTGATGATGATGGGACAGGAGCTGGAAGATGGTTTGCCTGCTTTGCTTTCAGCTTCTCAAGTTGTCTGTCTGCTCAAGGACAGCATTTTGACATTTAAAAGCAAGGAATCGAGTTTGACATGAAGCAGATCTAAATTGGCACAGAATATGAAGCTTTCCAATCCGTTGATGAAACTGAGAATTGGGATGGGCTCTGCAAGAGCAGGATAATTCCCTCTGCCAGAATGCTCCCTTAATTATGGGAAAAAACATGCTCACAGCCAATCCCGGAAACAGGTACTGTTCCACCTGGCAGGGATGGTGTTTAAGAACTTTGTACATAATGTTAACCAAGGCAGGGAACTTAAAGTAGTTTGTAAAAGTTGGTCAGTCATTCATCAAGGATCTATCTGGTAGATTATCTCTAAAACTATTAATTTGTTACTATTTCTTCAAGGTTTGAGAATTAAGAAAGAAAGAAAGAACAGCAGCAAAACAATACACATTACTAAATTATCCATTTCCTTTACCGCCTCCCTGTTCTGCTGTTCAGGGACAAAAACCATTGTTGAGAACTAAAGTCAGTCAACGTGTTGATCCTAGTAAAACCCTCAGATAGCAATGAAACATTGCCTGACCTTTTCACATCACGTGGCTATATTTAAAGGAATGCAGCACTGCATGCAGCATTTCAAAGTGAAATAAACATCCGCAACCTTTGGAAACAGATCCAGTTCCAAAACAGTTTCAATAACTGATCAAAATATAAATCAGTTTGTCCACAAAAGCTCCATCAATCAGATTTAAGTAATGCTCACCAACCACACAATGTCAAGTGAACATTTCAAATTAGAAATGAATTCTGGTTTGGGGTTATAAACTATGAACTGTAAATCTGTGCCCAAGGGGAGAGGATGTTCCACAACCAGATTTGGCCTTGTACTGCTTTTGCTTATCCCCCAACCCACTCATCACAGGCCTGTTTTCTTTCAGCTCCTCCGCATTCCAGCACTGGACATGTAAAAGCTCTTAGCCAAGGAACAATTTGCGTTTTGTTTGAAAAGCCACTGAAAGCTCAAATCGTCAGCTTTCAGTTTTCTTACATGAAACAGCCCCCTGCATTATCCAAGCAAAACGTGGACCCAATATCTAAATAGCCTCATCAACAATGGGTGGAAAGTTAAATTGCTTACATAGAAAAATTGCAATTCCTTCAGAGAGAAAAACAGGTGCATTTTGCTTCACATTTTCTTTTTTATTCACTTGTGGGACATGGGCGTTGCTGGCTAACCAGCATTTGTTTCCTATCTCTAATTGTCTTTGAGAAGGTGGTGGTCAGCTGCCTTCTTTAACTGCGGCAATCTATTTGGTGTAGGTGGACCCACAATGATCTTGGGGAGGGAATTTCAGGATGTTGACCTGGTGATAGTGAAGGAATGGCAATATATTTCCAAGTCAGGATGGTGAGTGGCTTGGAGGGGAACTTGTAGGTGGTGGTGGTGTTCCCATGTATCTGTTGTCCTTGTCCTTCTAGGTAGAAGTGGTTGTGGGTTTGGAAGGTGCAATCTAAGGATCTTTGTTGAATTTCTGCACTGCATCTTGCAGCTGGTACTCACTTCTGCTACTGAGCATTAGAGGTAGAAGGAGGGAATGTTTGTGGATGTGGTGCCAATCAAGAACGCTGCTTTGTCCTGGATGGCGTCAAGCTTCTTGAGTCTTGTTAGAGCGGTACTCATCCAGGCAAGAGGGGAGTAATCCCTCACACTCCTGACTTGTGCCTTGTAGATGATGGACAGGCTTTTGTCAGGGGGAGGAAAAAGAGGTCAAAGGTGAGTTGCTCATGACAGTATTCCCAGCCTCTGATCTCCTCTTGTAACTGCTGCATTAAGCTTCTGGTCAATGTCTAACCCCGAGGATGTTGATAGTGTGGGATTCGATGATGATAACACCATTCAATGTCAAGGGGCAGTGGTAAGATGGTCCCTTACTGGTGATGGTCATAGCCTGGCATTTGTGCGGCATCAATGTTACTTGCCACTTGTCAACCCAAGCCTGGATATTGTTGTATTTGAACATGGGCTGCTGCAGTATCCGAGGATCACAAATGGTGCTGAACATTGTGCAATCATCGGCGAACATCCCCACTTCTGACTTTATGGTGGAGGGAAGATTATAGATGAAGCAGCTGAAGATGGTTGGGCCGAGGACACTACCCTGAGAAACTCCTGCAGAGATGTCCTGAAACTGAGATGACTGAACTCCCAACAACCACGACCATCTTTCACTTCTGCCAGCGGAGTGGTTGCTGCCGATACCCATTGATTCCAGTTTTGCTAGGGTTCCCGGATGCCATAGTTTGGCAAATGCAGCCTTGATGTCACTCTCATCACACCTCTGGAATTCATCTCTTTGTCTATGTTTGAACCAAAGTTGTAACGAGGTCAGGAGCTGAGTGGCCCTGGCAGAACCCAAACTGGATGTCGCTGAGCAGGTTATTGCTGAACAGATGCTGCTGGATAGCACTGCTGATAAAACCTTCCATCACATTATTGATGATCAAGAGTAAACTGATGGGGTGGCAATTGGCTGAGTTGGATTTATCCTGGTATTTATGTACATAACAAACCTGGGCAATTTTCCACATTGTTGGGTAGATGCCAATGTTATAGCAGCAGAACACAACATTGTATTGAATGGCCTGCATGCATCAGGAACACAGAAGCAGTATGTCACCAAAACCTGGCATCTAAGTATTCAGTTAAATCTATTAAAGCTCAAATGCATTAAAAGGAAACAGCAGGAATTTAGATGAAAGTGGGTTTTTGTCATTTTTCACTTCTTTTGTGCTGTTTGGGGCCTCATAAAAGGGAGAAATGAAGGGTGGTACCATTTTTGGATCCTGCAAACGACAGCAGTGTACAACCGAGGGGCCTTCCTCGGCCACCAATTTAGAAGTCAGATCTGGAAGTGCTGTCCAATTACTGCTTCTAAGACAAATGGGCGAGAATCAGAGCCTACAGTTTTGGTAGGGCAGTGACAGCTGGCAGAGGCAGGCATTGCCACTGTAGGAGGACAAACATGTTGGTACATCCACCTTGCTTCATTTTCAAATGGCTTCAATGTTTACAAATACACAGGCGACAGAGATGCCCAGCCTAGCCCACCCTGTGGGTGGGAAATCCCTTGCATGACCTTCAACTACAGCTGAAGCCCACTGGCTCCTGTTGAGATCGGGTAGGGGTTAAGATCTGCAAAATCTCACGATATCATCCGCAAGCCACCTCTAGGTAACTGCCAGTTTGTTGATGGTGGGGGGGCAATGATTGTTCCCAAAGATGACCCATCCTGCCAAGATTGCCATGTTGAGAGAATTTGTTGGGCAGCTGACCCTACACACTCCTTTCAAAAATTCCTCTCGGAACTCCCCTTTCTGCCTCCGCAGAACTGCCCAGAAAAACAGCTATAGTTAACCAAATCCAACCTTTCCCCAGATGGGAAGAATATAACCCTCGTATTCAATACTACATAATACAATAAAAGGTAATGTCAAAAATGTGATTATCCAAAGAGAGATTTTGGATTATTTCTGGATAAAAATAAAATAAATCTGAGCTTTCTGAACATATAAGTCACAAAATGCTGGCTAAACAAACATTTTCATTTCACCAAACACCATATATGAACGTAGACAGACAAATTCTTTAAGCATCTTACCGCTACTTGGGCAGAATCCATGAACCTAAGGCCAAAATAGTCTTTCTCAATGATGTCGAGATGGTACATGATTTGCTCAAAAAGCTCCTGGCCTTTCGCTTTTTTCTAAGGGAACACGAACACAAGAAAATATCAAAGCAGAATGTTCAGCAACTTGGATTTAAATAGCTTCAAATTTCAAAAGGAACCTTTGTTTTAAACCATACATTGAAACTGGTTTGATTCATTAACCATAAATAAATTAATAAATATTACTGACCTTTCAAAAGGATGAAAATCAGCAATTCTTTTTAAAGCAGGCCAACGTTGCCTGAATGCACCAATAAATTATGCTAATGACCAAATTAAGATAAATCAGTCAAGTTGGTAGTGTTAGAAGGGGCTCAGATTCATAAGCAGTGACTCGTTCTCTACAGACTAAAGAGATTTATTTGTTCAAGCTGTCCACCTTTTTTTGAATAGCCCGGGAGTTTGTGGAGGTTTTTGGCAGGTCCACATTGCTTCCTCCATGTTAACAACTTGGCCAATCAGGGATGATTGGCCTACCAATCAACACCCTTTGAAATATGGCATTCTTGTGCTGAGTGAGGGGTGACTTTGATTGATGAGATCCTGAACAGTCTTGACAAGGTACATGTGGAAAGGTTGTTCTCCCTCTGTGTGGGAGTGCAGAGCTAGGGGCAATGTTTCATAAATTAAAGATCTCCCTTTTAGGACTGTGGCAATGAGAATTTGTTTTCCTCTCAGAGGGTTGTGCAACTTTCAAACTCCTTGTCTCAGAAGGGGGTGGAGGCAACAAGTCATTGAATAATTTTAAGGCTGTGGTGGTTTCTGCCCTTACCCAACAGATGGGAATGTGGAACTCAGAGCGTAAACAGTTTAGCCATGATCATATTGAATAGTGCAATAGGGCCTCTTTTTGCTCCTAGCTTGTATATTCATACGTTTGTCATGATGAGTGCAAGTCAACCAACTTTGGTGACATCTTTCTTTTTCACCAGATTCAAGAGAAAACAAAAATACAACTGTGATTTTCCCCTACGCTCCTTACATCCAGGGGAGTAAAGTGACCAGCAATTTGTACTAAAGCCAGAAAGGAGAGAATGGGTTTGAAAAGCCATACGTAATGGGTTCCTCCTTAGATGGCAGCAGGAGGAGGCCATTCAGTCCTTCAAACCAGTTCTGCACCATTCAATATGACCATGGCTGATTGCTACCTTAGACCTTATTTGGCTATATTTGCTTTACATGACTCAAACACCTTAAACCAACACAAATATTCACCAACCTCTGGCTTGAGAATTTCAATTGACCCAGTGTTCATAGGCTCCCATGAGTACTTCTCAAACTCACTCTTAAAAGGTCTAATTTTGAGATTACACCCCATTACTCCATAGATTAAATGATACATGAAGGAAAGATTAAATTAGATATGAGCAGGAAGTTCAGAAAAGGCTTAGAAAGTCAGGCAGCATCCGGATGAACAGAGAGGGTTAACTCATTGTGGGTAACGATCTTTTATCTGAACCGTCAACCTGAAATGTCAACTCAGTTTCCCTTGTCACAGATTCTGCCCATCTGCCTGGGCTTTCTCCAGCATCCAGAGAATTTTGCCTTTGTTTATAAAGTAGATTCACTTTGAGTAGAAATTATCAAGCTATTCAAGCAATTCGTATTTTACCAGGGGGAGGCGATGGCCTACTGGTATTATCGTTGGACTGTTAATCCAGAGACCCAGATAATGCTCTGGAATCCCGCCACAACAGATGGTGGAATTTGAATTCAGCAAAATATCAAGAATTAAGAATCTAACGATGACCATGAATCCATTGTCGATTATCAGGAAAAACCCATCTGGTTTACTAATGCCCTTTAGGGAAGGAAACTGTCATCTGGCCTACATGTGACTCCAGATCCACAGCAATGTGACTGACTCTTAACTGGTCTCTGGGCAACTGGGTTGGGCAATGAATGTGGCCTGGCCAGCGACGCCCTCATCCCGTGAATGAATAAAGGAAAAAACAAATTAAATTCCATCCATTTACCGGGTGGTCAATATTCAAAAAGTGGTAGGAGTTAAGTTTAGGATCTCAAGAAAGGGACTCATTGCAAATTTAATGCAAACATTGGTGGCAGCGTTATTATTGAGAATGAGAAACTCAAGAAATATATTGAAGTGTTACGTTAAAATTAAATTAAATGAGGTACTATCCAAATGAGTGAAAGTTGACAGATCCAAGATTGATTTCTCAAGCGCTGGGGCTATTTTCCCCAGAGTGTCAGAGGCTGAGAGGTGATCTTATAGAAGTTTATAAAATCATTGGGAGGCATGGATAAGGTGAATAGCCAAGGTCTTTTCCGTAGGATGGGAGAGTCCAAAACTAGAGGGTGTACATTTAAGGTGAGAGGGGCAAGATTTAAAAGGGACCCGAGGGGCAACTTTTTCCACACAAAGGGTGGTTCGTGTATAGAAATAGCTGCCAGAGGAAGTGTTGGGGACAGGTACAATTATAACATTTAAAAAGCATCTGGATGGGTATATATGAGAGGAAGGGTTTTGAGGGATACAGGCCAAATGCTGGAAAATGGGACTAGGTTAATTTACGATATCAAGTCGGCATGGACGATTTGGACTGAAGGGTCTACTTCTGTGCTGTACATCTCTATGACACGCAAGACAGATGAAATTCTTAATGAAGAAAATTCTGAAGAGATTTTAAAAACTTGGACAGAACAAGCCATTAGATCTGGAGTGACCAACCTACAGCTTGGTGGGCACACTGCTGCGAACCTGGGTCCATAAACCTCCTCCCATTCCAGACATTCCAATACAGCCCATTGATATAATCCTTTGCCACTCGAGTAAGTATCTACCTTCCCCTTAAAGGGTTCATGTCACCCACTCCATATGATAATGAGCTCTGCGCTCTCAATGACCCTCTGGGTAAATGTCAATTCTAAATTTCTTGTGAAGCATAACTGGTGACCATCTCATATTGCAGGAGTGATTGTAGTTTCTCTAATAGCAGTTCTGAGTACACAAGGCTTTCTGCCTTCGCCTGTTAAAAAGCTGCTTACTGCACATTATTCCAGGTTATTCGCAAGAAAGAAAATACATATTTCTTTTAAAAGAAAGTTGCATATGTCCTGACTGAAACAGAAATCACATCAATCAAATATGTCTATTGCACAGTAACTGTAGCCTTTAAGCCAGGTTGCAATTGGTTAGATTTTACAGAGTGACTGTGATTCTGGGCTGGATATTGAATCCTGTATTCTGCCTGCCAGAACATTTTGATGAGCAATATCATGGGTGTTGGACACATGGGCAGTGCCCTTCAGCCCCAGACTGATGTGCTCCAGTCGTGAAGGAATGGCAGGTATTGAGACTACTGCTTACAGTCATCAGTCCAATGGCAGCAATTCCACCAGGTTGAAAATGCCATGGTGCAACTGCTCTCTCTACAGAAACTGCTTAGAACATTACAGCGCAGTACAGGCCCTTCGGCCCTCGATATTGCGCCAACCTGTGAAACCAAGCTTAATCTGAGGGCACTAATCTGGCTACCCCCACTGCACAACAAAAACACGTTTTATAAAGCAGCACTGTCACTGAAGAAACAAACAAACAATCTGTCTGCGTATACAGAGCACTTTTTCTCATCCTTAATTTTATCTCCCCAAACGGCGCCAGAAGTGACTGGGGGCATTGCCTGTGGCACTAAGAGGGTTCTGGGCCCAAATTTAAATGGGCTAGTGACATCAAATAAAGTAATTCACTCAAATGTTTGGGGGGAGGGGTGCTGACCCTCATTGAGAGATTAAGAGATATATTATAGCACACTCCTGAAGCAGATGGGACTTGAACGCAAGCCTCCTCGCCCTAGAGAGAGGGATAGTATCACTGTGCCACAAGAGCCCCATTGCCCGAGTTGATCCAACGCTAATAATAATTCTCAGCTGAAATTATTGAATAGTAACAACAGCACAGTAAGAACATAAGAAATAAAAGCAGCTCTGCACTATTTAGCTCTTTGAGCCTGCTCCAACATGCAATAGAATCATGGCCCACCACCTATCTCAGTGACACTTCTTGGGTTACACCTCATCCCTCAATTCCTTTAGCATCTAAAATATAACTGCGCTCAGGCTTGATATATTCAGTGTCTGAGCATTCGCAGCTCACTCCAGCAGAGAATTACAACGTTCGCAACACCTTGAGTGTTTATATTTCTCATTTCACTCCTCAAATGACCAACTCCTCATCCCAAGACCTTGACTCCCAGGTCTAGATTCCCTGAGGCAAAGGAAGCATCTTTCTAGCATTGATCTGGAGGAGATGGTGGCAAAGTAATTATGACACTAGACTAGTATTCCAGAAGGCCAGGCTACCCAGCAGGTAGTGGAATTTAAATTCCATGAATAATTCTGGATTATGAAGCTAGTCCCAATAACAGGGACAATGGCATCTATCATCAATTCATAAGAACCTGTCTGATCCTCTCATATCCTTTAAGGACAAAAATAAATGTTTCTTACCTGGTTTAGCCTACATGTGATTCCAGCCTCACAGCAATGTTTTTTACTCTTAACTACCCTCTGGAAAGGTTTACCATACAAGCATATTTGAAACACAAGAGTCTGAGACGTCTTGACAGAGGCTGAGTGTAGAGAGGATGTTTCCATTCATGGGAGAAACTAGAACAAGGGGTCACTGTTTAAAAATAAGAGGGTCATCAGCTGAAACAGAGAGGAGGCATAAAAAAATTCTCTCAGTGGGCTCTGACTCTCTGGAATTCTCTTCCTGAAAAGTTCGTGGAAGCAGAGTTCTTGAAAATTTCTAAAGCAGAGGTAGATAGATTATTTTTCAGTGAAAGGCAGAAAGATTATCAGGAACAGGAAGGATTGTAGAACTGAGGTTACAATCACATGAGCCATAATCTTGTAAATGGCAGAGTAGTCTCAGAGCTGCATGGCCCACTTCTACTCCACAGCTGTAGGTTTCTATTCACAGCCACTCAGTTTGAAAGATGCATCAAACAAATGCTGTCCACACCAGCAACATCCACATCCCATGAAACAATAAAACAGTGTCCTGCCCCTTT